TTTTTTTTTTTTTTTCCAACGTTTATTTATTTTTGGGACAGAGAGACAGAGCATGAACGGGGGAGGGGCAGAGAGAGAGGGAGACACAGAATCGGAAACAGGCTCCAGGCTCTGAGCCATCAGCCCAGAGCCTGACGCGGGGCTCGAACTCACGGACCGCGAGATCGTGACCTGACTGAAGTCGGACGCTTAACCGACTGCGCCACCCAGGCGCCCCAGCGTCCTTTTTTTTTTAACTGTATTTTGAAATTGATCTTACCCTGTAAAATAAAAGAATTTTTGTGGTATATTATAATAAAACTATTGACAGAATCACTAGTACTTCCATAAAAATTGTGGCGGATGGCCTCCAAAAGATCTACTTCCTTTGGCATATCTCATAGCTAATGTATTTTTTTCCTATTCTTACTATTTTTTTTCTTCTTTTTTCCTCTTAGATTGTACATTGTAAATCATTACTACTTCATTAGGTAAACCCAAATATCCCTGCTGATATTCCTGGTAACTTGTACTGTTAACTCTTTAATGTAGTCCCCATTAGATCATAATTTCCTGTGGACCACTTTTTCATATCATTGTCATTTTTATCACTCATCACCACTTCATCATTTACTCGGACCTGTGGAACAGAAACTAGAAAGAACGTGATTCATCTAGTAAACTCTTACTAAAGTCTGGAGCTTTGTACACAATATACACACAAAAGGAGGGACCTGGCTTCTGTGCATTGGAAAGTTCATAGTCCAATAGGGGATCTTAGCCTAATTTCTAAATTCTTGGTCTAAGTCTAAGATGGCCACTCGGATGAAGGTACTAAAAGTTATATTCTGGCCGCAAGCAGACCCTCTTCTAAACTCAAGTCTAGCTCTTACTTTACCTCTGCACTTGAAGGTCTCCCAGACATTTCATGTTCAGCATCTCCCTCAAATCTCCTCACCTAACATTGCCTTCTCAGTACATCTTATGACCACCTACTCAATGGCTCAGGCCAGACAGCTCAGGGTTGTCTTTGATTCCTCTCTCTTCTTTTTTTCCTTACATCTAATCAGTTGCCAAAGTCCTGTTGATTAAACCTCACAAATATGTCTCAAATTTATCTACTTGTCTTCATTTTCATTACTTTCTTCCTAGCCCAAGCCATGGTCATCATGCCATATTCTCTTGGCTGAGTAATTTTTGTCTCTTTCTGGCACCTTTAAAAGATTTTGTAAGACTCAGTGTGATTGTACCTACCTTTTCACTCCGTGCTGGAGTAAAAGCTAGAGTAAAAGCTCCATGCCTGGCAGGCATTATGTCTATCAGTGAATGACCAGAACCTACCATACTTGGTACATATTAGGTTCTTAATAAGTAGATAAAGAACTGGAAGACTAAATAACGAATTATGCTATCAAATCAAAGGTCTTTAAAATGTCTTATGTTTCATCTGTCAAAGTTGATGATATTATAGTTCCTTAAGAGATGCAATTCTGTGAAAATTGTCCTTACTATTTCCATGTTGAACACATGAAATGTTTTGGTCACCAAGACAATGTAATTTATTTACTTATCAAATGCATATTTGCTGAGCCTCATTCTGTATAAGATACATACTTGTCTTTACAAGGCTCCCTAAAAGAAGCTGTAGTCTAGTAGAGGGGCTAAGGCCTGTAATATATGAGAGCAAGATAAGTGCCCTAAAGAATGCATGTTATTGGGGCACCTGGGTGGCTCAGTGGGTTAAGCGTCTGAGTTTTGGTTTTGGCTCAGGTCAGGATCTCACACTTTTGTGAGTTTGAGCCCCGTGTTGGGCTCTGTGCTGACAGTGCTGCAGACCCTGCTTGGGATTCTCTCTCTACCCTTCTCCTACTCGTGCAGTCTCTGCCTTTTCAAAATCATAAACTTTAAAAAATTAAATAATATAAAAATAAAAGAATGCACATCATTGAGGACATTGTTTTTGTTACAAGTGACAAGACTCCAATAAAGTGAGTATATACAAAAGGGAAAATTACTGGTTCAGGTAATGGGGATGTTGTCCAGTATTCACGCTTACTTGCACCTGCTCTTGTCTCTGAGTCACCTGCTTGACAGCTTGATCTTTCAACCTTTCTTTCTATGTGAGACTGGAAATCTAGCCAGCTCTATATTCACTTCATTTCACATAAACAGGAAGAGGAGAAAAGATCCCCAGCCCCCATTCCCTGACTGATTCCATGCTGTTGGGAAAATTCCCAAGGGAAGACGCTGATTGACCTGATTTGGGTCACACCTATTGACTAGCTGCTGCAACAGGGCTATATTGTGGGAAGGTGGGTGGGGAAGTAGAGTTTGACAACCTTTTATAGAACTATATAATTGAAAGAAGGGATGAGAGTTTCTGATTTTGGATATGCAGTTATCAGAAAAAGATACCAAGATAATGAGAAGGGAAAAAAATGAAAACAATGTGTACTCTTGGAAGCATGAATGGAGGGAAAGGAGAGTTTAGAAGAGTGAGGGGAGACAGGGGGAGAGAATATTTCTTATAGGAGCAATTCAGTAAAATCTGAGTCTTAAAATAATAAATGAGCATGAACTTTTGAGGACTGAGAAGAGCATTTGAGAAGGAGGGCCAGTACCTGCTGGACAGAAGAGTTCAGTGTATATATGGAAGTAGAGACAGAAGCCAGGCTGCGGAAGATGGAAGACTGCAAAAGCATGCTTGTGCCAGCTTGTGGGAGAACTTTGACAGGACTTTGAAATTAATATTTTAGTCCGTGTGAAGCAGAACAGTAACATCCAAACCATCCTAAAAGAAATCAATCTTGTAGACTTTTGTGGGTTGAATTAGCTGACAAAGTAAAGGAAGACCTAACAAGAAGTTCTTCCAGTAGTCCAGGTGAAAAATCTGGAGGATCTGACTGTATTGAGAATAATACCAAAACTTAAGCAGAACTTTTTATTGGGCATTACTGGATATTAAATCCGGTTCACAGTATGTCTCGATGTAACCGTGATATATTAATGATGGTTGCCATCCCCCTCTTATTTCCCCACTCTTGAAAGCAACATTATGATGATACACAAATCAAGTGGTATATGTATCTGTTTGGTACTTTAGCTCCTATTAATGATGTGAAAAAAAATAACCACCATGTACTCAGCACACAAATAAGTAATTTGGTGTTTTCTCAGGAAAGAAAACTTTCAAAAGGAGGAAAATCTACTGCCAAATAACTCAACACCTCCTGCAGAACCACAAGATGTGGAAGAAAGTCATTGAAGAGGAACAGCGGTTGGCGGGCATAGAGAGTCAATCCCTGGACCAGTCACCCCAACAGCATTCCTCAGAACAGATCCAGGCCATCAGGGAAGAAGAGGAAGAGAAAGGGAAGCCAAGAGGAGAGGAGATCCCAACCCTGAAGCAAAACCAGTGACGATGGATATAATGAGCTGTGTTTCCCAACAGAGTGACTTGTCACAGACTCTTTTCAAGCCAGCACAACACTTAGACACAACACTGTAGAAATACAAGAAGATGGGCAAACAGCTATTGCATTTGGGAATTCTTCGCATTTTATGTGTTTATTTTTACAGTGAGGTACATTGTTAAAAACTCTTGCTCGGAGAAGCTTTCACATTTGCAACACCAGCTTCCAAGGATTTTTTTTAAGGAAGAAGTATATATGTGTGTGTGTATATAAGCTCGCACGTAGATACATGTAAAACATATTCACACACATACACGCACATGCACACTGAAAGCCAGGGTTACTGGCTCCACACTTTAGTAACATTCATATTAAGATATATAGTGGTCACTGTGATATAGTAAGTTATAAAGGAAAAAAAAAAAGGAAAACAATTCACAGAGGAAATGGGGCGGCTTAGCAGGGAAACAGTGCAGTGAATGTAAGTTACCAACTAAGGAGCTTTTGCTCTTAGTACTGACAGATGAAAGTTCCAGAGCATTATTTGAATTCTTCTACATCCTGCCGATATCGTGTGTGTGTGTGTGTGTGTGTGTGTGTGTGTGTGTGTGTGTGTGACAGAGAGGAGAGAGAGCATGCTTGTGTGTATGTATGTGCTTATGTCAACAGAGATTTTTATGGTTTTAGTCATTCATAGAATAGCTGCAGCAGATGACTCAGCACATCTGAACAAACGGAAGGCAGTTCACTCTGGAGTGTCTGAGAGGCAGCCATTCCAAATGCCTTCCTCCATTTAGCTTCAGTCCAGGGCCCTCTGAAGAGGGAGGGTATTCACAGGCTGGTGAGAGGGCCACGGGATTGGTACTATGCTAATGCACCACTTGGAGGCACTCTATCGCCGGCCTTAAACCTGGAAGACTGAGGCATTTTCCAATCTGCTTGCCTAATGAATGTATAGGAGCTGTTTGTCTGTGAGTATGTCTGTCACTCACGTAAGATCAAATCAACTATTTTTAAGGGGATGGCATTCTTTATATATAAACACCTAAGAAGGGGCTGAAGTCCGATCTTTTAATTAGGTTAGAATTCTGAAAAGTTGCCAGAGGAGACTTGGGGGAATTGCTCTTCACTCTTCACGGTGACCTTCCATGTCTTAAATATGCTGCAAAATGTGTGATAGAAAAGAAGAAAAAAAGGCAAACAGAAACCCACTATGGGACATATAACGAGAGATGAAGGGGGAAAATTGCAACCTAGGGTTTGGTGTTTGTTGACGTAGTGAAAGCCTGATTCTGGGCAACTGTTGAAGATTGGCTTTGGGTGGTGAAGGTCCCACTGACAACAACCTTGTTGTGGTGTTCCACGTGCCGTGGGGTAAGGTAGCTTCTGTCTGCAATCTGGCCCATTGTCATGTTTCTTTTGGCAGGGAAAATTATAGAGGGAATTTTGGGTACTGGGCCTATTATTGAAAGTCTTTTTTTTTATTTGTTCATCTACACTTGTTTATGCTGTGAGCCAAACCTTATTTAAAAAGTTGATACTCACTTTCAATATTTTATTTCATATTATTATATTTGTCATGAATAGTTATCTTGATGTAAATATAAAGATTTTTTTTTTGTTTCTGTAGATAGTAAACTCTTTTTTTTAAAAAAGGAAAAGGGAAACATTTTTATAAAGTTATATTTTAATCACCATTTTTATACATTGTATCTATCTCCAAGCCCAGTAAGAGAGTGATGAATCATTTGCACGGAGGTCTAAGGACAGCCACATATCTACCTATTCTAATTTAAATGATAATCAGATAGTTATTTTATGCCAATTAAAGGAAGATGCCACAAAGAATGTTTTTTCCTAGGAACTTTGAACTTTTAGGTCACTTTGGGGTTCATGTCTCCCAAAGAGAAAGACTTGCATAACCAATACTGAATTTTTATAATTGGTATCCATTTCTTGCCAATGTTTTTTGGTTATAATTCCTCCTTCAGTACTATGTACAGAAGAACTTGTTCATCAATGAAACGATCTTAGCTTCTAAGTTAACCTTGATGGTGATTTCTAATTTTTCTTTCCTCTGAAGTCATAGCAAAGAGTGTTTACATTAAAAATGCTTTTGTTTCTCATAAATGAATATTCTTCCTTTCCAAAGCAGTGATTTTACATTAACCTATGGCATTTTTCAAATAAGGCAAACATAATATAATCGAAAGTAAACACAATTTCAGGGCAGATTTCCCATTAAGTAGGAAAATATGAAAAAGGATCAAATAGATGCAGACTCTGCTTCAAAAATGAGAATAATTTCATATTTTTGTGTTAACACTAGGTCTTCACTATTCAGGATTTATTGAGTTGTTTTCCATTTTCTTAGTAATGCTTTTGTGTCTCATGTTTGCAAAAATTACTGTGAGTCCAATGCATTTCCCCAGTGACTTTAACTGTTTTCCTTCCCTTGCAAATAAGAGAAGAGGGGGAAAAAATGTGCTCGTTTATCTCTTGTACCTAATTACTTAAGAAAACAAATCTTTCCCCACTCTCCAAATGTCGTATGACAAGTGTCTAAAACACAGGTGAAAGTGAGCACAAATATAGGTTGTGGAGCAAGTAGTGTGACAGCAAAACAGTCACGAGTCTATAACTGTGTATTGGCAGGTGCTGCGTCAAAGCTGGCCAGTCTGGCTGCCAGAGTAGACGTCTTAGCAAATGACCCAGTTGTGTTTATTCTGTTTTAAAGTACCTGAAATAATGGTGGCCTAAGCACTTAGAACCTCTTCATTCCCAAATTGTGTTAATCAGTCCAGGCAGATTGATCACCTTTTTTTCTTCAAAAATCAGTTGCCAGGATATTACAGCTAAAAGTCCATTGAAATAAAAAAATAGAGATCAAGGATGACCCTTTCATACACATTCAGTACATCCCAAAGGATGACCAGGGGCATAGAAAGATCTTTTCTGCTGGCTATGTTCTCCCCCTCCTCGGTGACAGCAGTATTACTGTGTTCACTTCCAACTCCAGAGCTTATTCCCTATGGTGCCAGTGTGTTTGTTGCAATTTGCTACATTTTTATATGAGCCTATTTATAGGTGCCATTTAGGTAAACTCAGGTCTTTCAAATGAAGGAATCTGTAGCCCATTTAGGAAAAAGGATCATTGTACAGACAGCCATAAACCCAATGGGAGGAAAACTCGGAGCTGGTGACCTTGATGCTAGGGGTTGCTCTCTGTTAAGGAAAAGACCAGGTATTACTATGAGTGTCATCACTGTCATTTCCAGCATGCTATTATAATGTCCTTTCCAGGTATCCAACTAAGCCAACCTTTAGGATATCGTTTCCTTGGTGAGAACACCACTTTAGCTTTTTTCTAAACTATAAAATTTTATTTGTCATTTCTATAAGATTTGGTTTTCTCTCAGTAGATGAAGATAGTAGCACTGTACAAGGATAGATCTATACTAGTCTTCATCTGGCAAGTGAAGGAATGTCCTCATGTTTAAGAAAATACTCATTTTCTAAAAACAGAATACCCAATTCTATATGTTCCGTTTTGATCGACTTCCAGAACAAACCCCTAATTATTGCAATCCCAGTAAAACTAAAGAAAAGGGATTGTACGATGTGCAGACTGTTCGTATTACATGTATGTATTGTGATTTCCTCATGTCCCCTGCCTCTCTTGATTTGCGATTTCCCGACGTCCCCTGTCACGTGCCCAGAGAACTTTCTTTGAAGGTAAAAGCTGTGCAAGAGGCATGAGACTCAGGCCTATTCTTTGTTTAAATGGTGGAAAAATATAAATTATTTTCTAAGTAATAAAGATATGCAAATTATCATTGTAAATAAAGTCTAAAGTTTGAAATGACTGCTTTATATAAGTGATATTTGTGTGATGAACAATTCCTGACCAATGAGAAGTGACTGATCAAAAAATCATTTCTAGCCTACTTTGGGAGGTATTTTTGGTGCTTCGCTGTCAGTATGGGGATCTCCATTGTCCTCACCTTTTGAAATATTTCTAAAATAATAATGAAAACCACAGTAAGGATCTTACTGTCCTTTCTTCCATCCTAACCCTAAGTCCCACTTATTGCCTTTCCTGGTTTATATGCCACTTTGGAAATAAACTGTCTTTTCAAACTGGTAGAAGCCTCCAGTAAAACCAACTTTTGTAAGCTTTCATAGCCTGGGGTAAATCAAGATTCTCCTTATTCTAGGGATTCTCAGCTCCTGTGTGTGGAAAGAAAAATATCAGTAAAATTTCAAATGCTCATAGGTTACCTCCAGACCATTGATATCTAAAATATCTGTATACTTCGAAACCAAACTGAGTTTCTTTCATTCACCTTCGCTCCTAACAAGCAGCAAAATACTTTATGATCGTTGTTCTAGGTCATTCATTTCTCTTGTGATTTTTCCATGAAAGGAAACTGAATTTGCTGATACTGTTCGTCTGTTTTTCTAATCTGTTCAACAAAATTCCACCATAAGATTAGGAGACCAATTAGCCGTTTTAAGCGAGGAGCATTCCAAAATTAAATTACTCTTAGAACCTCTAATCAGGGCAAAATATGCAAGTTTTAGGTCCACCTGTATTCATATCAGTTTGTTCCTCTAGTAAATACTCAAATTCTTATTGCATATTTGATTGATTGCATATTCAGTGCATACAAGCACTGAATTAATTAAACTATAAACAATGCATTCAGCAACCTAAATTGAGGTTTGCATGGTATTTATAATGTTTAGCACTAATAATCCATGATCAGAGAAGAACAGATTTTTCAGTCTATATTACATACCATGGCAATTTGCGTATCACCTCACACATTTCATTTATTACCATGCTGCAACTTTACCTTACCTAATGGTGCTTTTACCTACCTGAGTGATCTTTACATTCATACTATCACATCATTCAAACAGGTTAACAATGGTGACAAAAAATAATTAGGCATTGTCCTGCTAAATATGTTTAAAGACCCAAAACTAAACCTTAAAGCTTT